TTCACAATGTGAATGATGTGCAGAAGTTAGTAGGAGATCTGCAGTGGGTCAGACCCATTTGTGGCATAAAAAACACAGACTTAAAACCTTTACTGGATATGCTCAGAACTGGTAATCAATTGACAGAAGCTCGACCATTATCAGATGCTGGAAAACAGGCCCTACAGACAATTGAGCAGAAACTGGCACATGCTTTTTCAGGGTGATTGCTTCAAGAGAAACCTGCTCAACTTATCATCTATAACACAAACACAGAAGTTGCAGGAATACTTTGTCAATGGGACATAACGCAAAAAAATCCTTTATGGATCCTAGAATGGGTTTTTCTTCCTTCATCATTATCTAAAACAATTGTTACCCCTGTAGAAGCAATAACACTCTGTATACAAAAAGTTGTAGATCGCTGTTTGCAAATATCTGGAAAGCATCCCAATGAAATTGTTGTCCCATTACGACAGGATCAGACTGCAACAGCAATTCGCACAAATGAAACATCTGCCCTTGCAGTAACAGGTCTTTCTGTGACTTTAACCTGTCACTTTCTGTCACATCCACTGTTCAAAATCACTTTGAATTTGGAATCATGTTCCTTACTCAGCAAACACCCCCTAGCAGGTCTTACAGTCTTTACAGATGCCAGCAGTCGCACTGGTAAAGCTGGCTTTGTCTGGCAGATTCAAGATACTTGGAATTCAGAAACTGTCATAGCTGATGGTTCTGTACAAGTTTTGGTATTAGTAGCTGTAACACGAGTTTTTGCAAAGTGGCCACAATGTCCTTTGAATATTGTATCAGACTCTGTGTTGTTGGCCTTGTGTCTCACCTGCATCGTGCACTTTTTAAAGAAGTCTCCAATAAGGCCCTGTTTTATGTCATTTATCAATTGTGGCATCTTTTAGATGACCACAGATTCCCCTTTTTCAGTACTCACATCAAAAGTCACACTACGTTACCAGGATACCTAGTAGAAGGCAATGAAAGAGCTGATTTGTTAGTTTTTGTACCAGCAGAGCTAATGCCAAAACCTGATTTACTGGGACAACACATCTCTCCCATGCATTTTTTCCTCAGTCAGCTAAAGCTCTGAAACATCAGTTTCCTATTTCTCTGACTGAAGCTGGAGCTGTTTTAACTGCGTGCCC